TGGTGCCGCGCGAAACCCAGCCTCCTGATACCCTCAGCACTGGCAATGAAAAAAAACCTGTGCTTGAAAATGTCTCTCCTTGCTCGCACATACTTATTGTGGCAATATTTTGCTCTCTGTCTTTTCAAAAGTTCGCTCAAACTCCGGGTAACTTGTAAACATAATTTTGACAATAGACCAACCTCCTTAACATGAGCCCGACTAAGGAGAAATTAAGAAATTTTTCGTGAAGGTATGAAGAGAAGAAGTCGTCGGCTTGACTGAAAATCCTATTTAGGATTCGTCTGCGCTTTCCCCTGATACCCCCTCCTACTCGTCATCAGTTTCTGATGAACATGACTCGGTACCGCATTCGCTCGGATCGCTCAGGTAAGCCACTCCTCGATCCCGCAGAACTCAACTACAATCCCATGTTCTTTCAGGGAAAGTGGAGAAGATGTTTTGGAAATGTTGCTGAGGGAAGAGCGACTGTACAATGAGCGACGAAGCATTCTTTATTGTGTGAGAAGCCGTATATCAGAGATACTCTCAGCTGGCGAGGTCGATGATATTGTAAGCTGCCTCAATCATTTTTTGTCGTCTGCCTGAAGAACGTACTCCTTTCCAGCCGTTTTCATCAAAAGACCTCAACGAGCTCACATTTGCTGGAGTGCGAAAGGACATTCGGGCACAGATTCTGGCTACCTATGAATGGATGCGAGGATGGAATCACTTCAAGTGTTTGAGCACTTCTGACAAAGTCACTCATCCTTAACACTAGTACTGCTCCATTACACTAGTCGATTTTCCGAGTTTTAGAAGACCCTTCTCCGCCGATGTACACTGTTCCACCCAATCATTGATCCCTGCTATCTGACGATGAGGCTTGGGCTCCCAGACAGGTAACGCTGGCGCCTACTGAATTCGTTCATTTTTACAAGAACACATCCAGAATAGACGTTATTCAGGTTTGTGATGTTCAACGGCATGTTCATAGCGATTGATTCGGAAGAGGGTTGGAGAGATGAAACGTGCATCTCGGCGTCATTGAAAAAGGAGTAAGTTCTCTTCGAGAAACTTCTGCTGTGTTCGATTTCGTGATTTCCCTGTGATAGCGCGATTCCATTTCGGAAGAGCAACTATTGTAAGATTCACACTTCATAATCTTAAGTTTACTTCTTTCGATACTGAATTCTGGAAAACGGAACTCAGATAGGCACAAAAAAGTGCTAAGTATCTGATTAGCGGAGAAAAGCAGCAGAAAAAGCAGTCCGAAATGTTATAGAGAAAGGATAACATAGTGGCTACTAGCTAGTAGGCATAGCAAGCGCGGTGAGGGTACCGGCATGGGGCGCTAAGGGCGTGTCCATCGGGCCTACCTTAGTTCAGCTTCTAGCGGGTTCTTGCCGTTTTTCCATATTTTGAAAGTTAGCGCAGCCTAATCGCCTTCCGGATCGTCCGACACATTTGAGGGGTCATAGCGTAATTTTATCGCGGAATGTGCCTTTAAGTTTTCTTCTTTCGATACTGAATTCTGGAAAACGATAGAGAGATGGGTCCGGGATTGCACGTGTCGGTTACTGAGGTCTACTGGGGTCACGGTCCCACCACATCGACGTGATAACGGATCCGCGCGAGATTAAATTCTTATGTCATTTATTAGTCCCTGGTGTGTCGCTATAGCGACAGGTGGGCTTGCGGTAACTCAGCGGATGGTTCCAGATCGCCTTGTTCATTTACGTTTCAGTTCATCGACCCGCTGAGAGATTATCAGTGCTTGTTCGTAATTAGCGACTGCGTAACAGTCTCACTCGAAGGGATTATGCGGGCTACCTGGTAGTCTCGCGCCGAGTGTCCTTCTGAAGAGTCGGATATGTGAATGTTGTTACTATTCTGGGGGTCAGTGAACTTGGCAAGGTAAGGCCAGAGCGTGTCGGCGTTGAGCTTTTCTGATTTCACTTGACTGTATCAAATGAAAACTTTCCATCACTTTGTTCGATAAGCAGGCGTACTAGAATTGAAGCTAGTCTCTTGAAGACCTGTTCGGCCAGGAAGCGCGTTCGTCGGGAATTTTGCCTCTCTCGCTGGGCAGGGTAACGTTCTCCTCCTCTGAAGGTTTGACCGAACTACTTGATAAAACTTCTAAGTATGTAGACTTTGCGCCGCCAGTTATACGCTCAAGATGAATCTGCATGGGACTTCAGAATTTTTGTGTGATTTAGAATTCCAACTGACTGTATAACGGTGTTCCCGAAGAATCGCTTCTATAATACTGAATAGGTTTTATATCAGGGCTTCGGCTATCGCCCACCTTCTGGACCTGCGTCTTCGCCGACAGTCGTTGCGTCGTCCGATGCCAGGCCATTAACATCTCCTACGTGCCGAAGTACGGTCAATTGCTCGAAGGCAGCTGGTCACTGTTCAAGAGCCACTTGTGAGTCACGTCTATTGAATCACGGCCCGAGGCACCGCGGTCGCGCCCGGCGAAAGAAGGTCGCTAATCTACGAACCTTAGAAAACTCCACTTGAATTTCGCAGTCAGGTGCTGGAGAGTATTCATACTTCATTACAATTACATTACCGCCGAGACCTAAATGACTTAGCATGGGAGTGATGCAGTATATCAGTTGAAGCAGCTTGCAAGGAAATATGCTGCTAGTTTGCGCGTGTCGCGACAATGCCCGACGAACTAGGCACTACATGCAAAGGTGAACGAATGTGATCGGAGTACGGGTACGAATGAGCTCACAGGATGCGGGATATGAAAGGGGGAGGCGTGTAGGGGAAACATGAGGGGAAAAGTCCAATATAGAATCTCTTCATAACGTGATAGTGTGCCCTCCGCGGAAGTGGACCAGACAGCTGTTTAATCCCACCACTTTATTAATAAAATGTGGAAAGTATTTCCATTTCAGTAAGTGCGACCATATCATCGTCGCTGAAGAGATGTCTTACCTCACAGATCGATCTCATCTTCACAGCTCTTTCGAATCACTACGCTAGCTTGGGAATGTCAGCCGAAGATGTCGCAGTGCGCACAGGCAACGTCATCCTACTAATTGGCAACATATTCGTGAGTCATTCAGGGTTATAGTCCTGCCTCAAGCCTGAATCCTGTGTCACCCTTTAGGAAGTCGGCATGCAATGTCTCGAGAGCCACCAAGTGATTCAGTTCTTCGATTTATGGAAACTGGACGACCTCTTGATAAAACTGATCAGCGAATCTTTGCAGTCCTGATTGAGCAGCACTTTAGTCAGATGTAGTTGTTTAAGTCATGCATTCCTGTACATAAATATGAGCCATTATTAGATGTTATATGAAAATTTCTCAATTTGCAGTGCAGGCGAGATCAGAAGTGGTTCCAGCTGCTGTTGTGGCTATTTGAAACCAGAGCAAACGAATAGTGAAGATTTATGATGGTCGAATTATTTGAGTTCTGTTACATTCGACTCCCATGAGGCTTCCTAGTCGCTGATGGACGCGCCACATTCACTTCATACTTTGCGGCAGCCAGCGTTTCGAGCGTCCATCAGCGACTAGGAAAGTGTGGATATCGATATAGTTTTAGCAATGGCAGCGTCTACCAGCGTCCGCCAGCGCTCGAGGGAATAGGGAAAGTATGGATATCGATCTAGCGTCTCCCAGCGTCTACCAGCGACCGTCAGCGCCCACTAGTGGCCAGCGTACGCTAGTGTGTAGTAGTACTGAGCGGCGCCACAGTTTCACAACGCCTAAATTAGCTGTCTTCAGCCCCCCCCCTCCCCCAGCAGTTTGCTACCACTTCTATATTCTTTCTCGCTGGTGGACCCTGCCAGACGCGGTCTACGGACAGCTGAAACTCAATCCCTTTAACACGTTGCACGACATCGCGTTCTTTGCGGAAGCCGCCCACGTTGCGACACGGCGTGCTTTTCGCTTGCGTCCGCCCTGAGCCACGGTATGGCTCAGTTGTCCCTCGAGAAAGGGGCACCACATTTTTTTTGCCCGCTATGTCAGATTCTCGCCAGAATGATAATCAATCGTGCAGGTGGGACTGCTATTTCAACCATCTCTGACCCTATTGGATGCCATCTCATGCCCCGCCCACTGCGATCACGCCCACTTTTTAGCGCGATCGTGATTTCCAAAATGTGTACCATAACTCCCGTTTCTAAGAATTTTCTTGGAATTTGCTGCTTTTAACACATTACAATGATTCATTGATGGCCACACCGACACATAGCCAGCCACGCCCACTTTTTAACAGGTTTGTTTTATATTTAATTCTCATACCTTATCTCAACGTTGATTCAAACATACGCTTCACATATTGCTCACAGACGAGCAAATGCACGAAGATGTACACACACTCCGCACACTTAAATTCGCCCACTTCGATTTTCTCGGTTTCCAGCAATGTTTTATAATCACTGTTTATCCCCCCCCCCCCACAAATCCTATCCGCAGCCTCATCGTGGCGTGGGGGTGAACGGTTTTGGACTGTTCCAAAAACGTACCAATGCGGAGGGTGCCACGTCAGAGCCTGGCGAGCTACGCGTGGTTAATTTTCTTCTCGCCGAAAACAGTAACAACTATGGGCCTCATTCCCCTGAAGCTGAGGGAACCACCGACAGGGCGACGTCGGCTGGGACCGCTCGGACGAGGCTGCAAAAATCACAGGGCCAACGGAGATTTGAGTCGCCCAGGACTAGGATGACGATCTGTACTTTCAACGCACGGACGCTTGCATCGAAAGCTCACATCGAAGATCTGATTTAGGCAAGCCAGAGAGATCTAAGTACGACGTCATCGGACTGACCGAGACGAGGAGGCATCGCCCGCTACACGCCGTGTACGAGACTGGAGAAGAACTGTTCCTCGGAACATGCGACAGCAGAGGCGTTGGCGGTGGGCGTCCTCGTCAACACGCACTTGGCCATGAACATCGATTCGTACGAAAGTCTGACGACCCGAATCGGACGTTTGCGATTGAGAAGATGTGGTTCAACTCCAGCTTTGACAATCTTCGTCGCCTACGCACCAACATCAAGCTACGACGAGGATGAGCTCGAAGCGTTCTATATGGAATTGGAGAAGTTCTACAAGGAAGATCATACCTTCTTCAAGGTCATCGTCGGTGATTTCAACGCTAAGATCGGACCAAGAAGAACGGCTGAAGAACTTCACATCGGAACTCACGGAACGGAGTGGAATGAGCAGGGTGAAAGGCTGTCTGAGTTTATCATGTCGACCCACACCATCCATGGTAACTCGCAGTTCCAGAAGCCCTACTCTCTACGCTGGACATGGGAGTCTCCTGGTGGACAATTCCATAACGAGATCGACCACATCATCTGCAATCGAAGGTTTTGCCTGACCGATGTCGCTGTTGTCCCTAAGTTCTACACGGGATCCGACCATCGCCTCCTTCGCGCAAGATTCCGCTTTTCGATGCGAGGAGAGAGAGCCGCAAAGTTCAAGAAGCGAAGCCCAAAGACCTTCATCAACTGGGATCACTTCACTTCTCTCGCTGGGCTCTGGGAGGATTCTGTCATCGACAACATCGACGAGGAATACGAACGGCTTGTTGCACATCTTCACGACTGCGCCAAGAAGTCAGAGGAGTTTTCCAAGATTACCAAGAAGCGTCTATCTGGAAAACTCTCGAGCTGATTCGCCAACGTGGAGCCGCACGAGCCGCAGGCAATTACCAGCTGACGTCTGAGCTTGCGAAGCTATGCAGAGGAGCGATAAAAGAAGACCTCAAGGAGAGAAGAGCAGCAGTACTGGTGGAAGCCGCAGAGGCTGGGAAGAGCATACGCAACGCCCGCCGCGACTTCGCCAACTGTAAGACCAAGATGACCGCCCTCCGGCGTCCGGATGGAACAATCACCGCATCCAGAAGGGCAATGGAGAAGGTCATCCACGACTTCTACTCGGATCTCTTCGACAGCCACGTCCACCTGCAACCATACCGCTTGGAGCAGGATGGATATGTCGTTCCTGCAGTTCTCCCTTCCGAAGTCCGACACGCCATCTCGTCGGTGAAAATCGTACGGCACCCGGTCCCGACAGGATCAGACCCGAACATCTGAAGAATCTTCCGCCAGTTCTCGTCAAAACTCTGGCTCGACTCTTCACGCGCTACCTGTCGGAATGCAAGGTACCCACCTCGTGGAAAACCAGCAAGACTGTGTTGCTGTACAAGAAGGGAGACCTGTACGACATTGGCAATTATCGCCCAATCTGCCTGCTGTCTGTAGTCTACAAACTCTTCACACGAGTCATCCTGAATAGGATTGGCAGAACACTAGACGAAGGACAGCCATGCGAGCAAGCAGGGTTTCGAAGAGGATTCAGCACGATCGATCACATCCACACGGTAACGAAGCTCATCGAAGTATCGCGAGAGTACAAGATGCCGCTATGTCTCACGTTCATCGATTTGAAGAAGGCCTTCGACTCCGTTGAGACAGAAGCGGTTATCGAAGCCCTGGGCAACCAGGGTATTCCTACTCAGTACATCAGGATTCTTCGTGAGCTCTACAGCAACTTCACGACCAAGATTTCACCATTCTACAAGGAGATCATCATTGATGTGAAGAGAGGGGTCCGACAGGGCGACACCATCTCGCCCAAGCTCTTCAGCGCCTCTCTCGAGAACGTCATGCGTCAACTGGAATGGGAAGACATGGGAGTGAAGATCGACGGTCGGCAACTACACCATCTCCGCTTTGCTGACGACATCGTTTTGATAACGCCAAACATCGAGCAAGCGGAACGAATGCTGGCTGAATTCGACTGCGCGTGTGGAAGAATCGGTCTACGGCTGAACCTAACGAAGACGATGTTCATGAGAAACGGATTGGTATCTGATGCCCCATTCACGCTCAACGGAACGACCATCTCTGAATGCTCTAGCTATGTGTACCTAGGTCGTGAAATCAATATGATGAATGACCTAGCTCCAGAGCTGAGCAGGAGGAAGCGAGCGGCTTGGGGAGCCTTTAAGAACATCGAGGGAGTAGCGAAGAAGACGAAGAACACCAAGCTCCGTGCCCACCTCTTCGATTCCGCGGTCCTTCCTGCCTTGACGTACGCCTCAGAGACTTGGACTCTACGAAAGCAGGATGAGCATGCGGTCGGCGTTATTCAACGCGCCATCGAAAGGGCGATGCTCGGAGTTTCCCGCTACACGCAAGTGAGAGAGGGAATCCGGAGCTCCGCACTCCGCCAACGATCGAAGATCAGAGACGCCGCCGCATTTGCCAAGGCTTCGAAGATCAGGTGGGCCGGACACGTCATGCGTTTCGAGGACGACCGCTGGACCAGAGCAGTCACCGACTGGATTCCACGGGATGTCAAGCGAACGCCTGGACGACGACCGCCTATGCGATGGTCAGACTTCTTCGTGAAAGCTCTGAACGAACGGTATGAAGTTCATCGTGTCCCTCGAGCTGAGAGAGTTCATTGGGCAACTCTTGCACGTTGCAGGGACGAATGGAGACGTTACTGGCGCCCGCTCGAGGAACTCGATGATCAACGGGAGCACAGGTGATACAGGTGATACACTATTTATCCATATTTTCTTCCCACTATCCATATTTTATCACTTGTTCACCATCTCAAGATCACCAAACGGCTCCGCCCACTATGAGAGGCCCCTGCCACTTCGCACAAGCTCCACCTACACCTGCGAAAATGCCTTGATCTGGAAGTACAGAGTCTCGCTCGTAACCAGAAGAAGCCAGACGGGGGAAACTGCGTGCTGTGGATCAATAACTACCAAGAACAACCATATAGGAAAACTCAATGCGTACCTTCATGTGGGATGTCAAATAACATAGTGTAGAGCGTTTCATGGGAATCGGCTTAGCAGAAGGATTGCTGCGCGCCAAAGTGCGCGCCCGCTGGCGCCAAGTGGCGCCGACTTCGGAAGGTAACAATATATTCGTGACAAGGATGTCAAATAACCCAGGTGTAGAGGTTTCTATCAAATTCGGTGTCAAAGAGACTGCTAGCGCCAAAGTGGCGCCTACTGGCGCCATATGGCGCCAATGACAAGTTGAGATCTCACGTCATTGATCAGAGACCGCGCAGTCCCTGCAGCCAAGGTTGTCCAAAAAGAACTATTTTGGAGGTTTCTGCCGCAGCAGTAGCTAGTTGAAAAATTTCAATTTTTAATTCAAAATATCTCATGGGGGCAGCAACATTTTTCTTGCTCATCCTTGTTGGAAACTCACCTTCCACAGCTTACT